GTGATCAAGATCAAACTGCCCACAGTCTGCGTCTTGGAGTTGCTCGTGGCGAGGGCCGCGTCGCAAAACTGCTTCTGAACGCGCGGTTTGTCCCAGCCGTTGTGGATCGTCTCAAAGTGCGCAAACTGGATCGAGCTGCAGCAGGGCGCGTGCTGGTGCGCAAAGCCCCAGTAGAGCAAGTCGGTCGACGAGAGCGACGCGTCGAAAAAGTTACCAACACCATGCACAAACAAACACGGCTTCTTGGGCCCTTTGCAACCACACGAGAAACCGAACAGAGCGACCGTCCGAACATTGCCCTTGACGACATCCCAAACCGCTGCCGTCGACTCGGCGAGCGTCGCCGACTCCGGTGCCACAGTCGAGGGGGACACGACCACCGGGCAGCTGAGCGGAGCAGAACCGGGGACGTGAGGCACATCAAAGTCGGGGATCACCGTCGGGTCCGCGAGGTACTCGATCGTAATGTCCAAGTCACTTCCCGTCGCGTGCGTGAGCTTGTTCTCGGGCGAGTTGCAGAAAACGAACGACTCGCCTGCAAACGTAAGCTGAAGAAGCTGACCACCGTCGCAACTTGCGGTAGACGACGCTCCTTCGATTGCATCAACAACTTTCGACTGCGCAAGACTTGTTTGCATGAGCTGGACGGGTGGCACTTGCGATGCGGTGAGGCATTGCGCCGACACCACGACCCCGTTCTGGACCGACGACGTGTACGCGCGGCCGCCCAACAGCACGTAGTTTTGCGTCACGTTTTCGCCCGCTTGCGACAAGAACGCGTCAAACGACACCGCCCCCGTCGCACTCGCCTTGTGCGGAATCACATACACTTGTGCCGAGGTCTGGCCGTTGAAGTCCATGCTCGCACGCTTGGCGGTGAGCGTCACGAGGAGGCCGGGTGCTTGCTGCAAATTGGTCGTGATGGCAGCGGCGTTGTTGCGCACCTTGTGCGTGAAGACGACGAGGGCACCGACAGACGCGCAGACGACGCCGCAGAAAACGACGGCGCCGACGATCCAGCGCAGCTTGGCGCGGCGGCGCGGCGTGGGCTGGTCATCGTCAGCAATGATCGGGTCCTCAAGTTTGGGCGAGAACTGCATATTGCAAAGGAAATTGAAAACTGAGCACTTTGGCGCAATTTCGTGTCAGCGCCACCACATCACAGGGTTTCAAAGGTGGTTCAGAACTGTATCTTGGGTGCGAAAGACAGCTTCAAGCAATCCTCCGTGGCGGAAGGGTGCCCAACGGGATTGACGACGGCCGTTGGTTTGAACCCATGGACGACGACGCTCGGCTACTTTGGTGTACCGGTATGCGAGGCGGCGATAGTCAAATCAACTCAGACAAGTGTACGTTGTCGAGTCGACAGCGCCAAACTTTGTGGGTGCACTTGTGTAACCGCTCAATGTTGGCCTCGCCACCGTGAACCCACTTGCTTGCATTAGATTGGCTGCAGCATTTGTACCGGTAACGCAAATTGGTCTTGTTTGATGGGCCGGAAAATGTCCACATGAGCAGTTTGCAGCCTTTTCGTGAGCTTCTCTTCCCGTTGTGCACTTCAGGTTGCAGAGGCGACCTCCAGCACTGTTATAGCAAGGGTTTATTGACCCTTGCTTATCTTTCCGGTAGGGTGAGAAGCACTGACGCCCGCTAGTATCCTTTCATGGTTTGCAAGGGTCGTCGTCACTCAAAATCTGAGATGCGTCTGTCTTTGTTATATCAACAACCACCGTCAGATCGCTTGTGCGCGTATCGATAAGGTGAGCAGAACGAACGTCCCTTCCAGGCGTGCACATATAGCACTCGATACACTTGCTAATGAAACGATGGAATGCGTTAGAGAGACTGCGAGGCGAAGAAAACTGCCACAGTAAACTAGACACATGGATACTTAGCGCAAGGGTCATTATAAGGTTATTGACCCCCGACCAGAGTGTAGTGGGTGTTGTTGTCGTGTGTACCTGATTCGACGTATACGTGTCCTGGCAGCGGCTGGTCCACGGTTCTGCCTATGCCTCTTGAAACAGTGCCGCATTCTTATACGGGCGCTGAGCAATCTGAGCGCAATCCTGCGTCAAGGGTCCGTCGCGTCCCACCACGACCCTCGAACTCAGATCGACCATCTGGTCGTGGAACGTGCGGCCAGGACAACGAGACCACGACCACGCCCAACTCAGATACCGTGTTATCGGAATCAGTCCTGATTTATGTTGCGTCAACAGCGCCTTCGCCACGGTATGCGAGTTTCTTGTTTCTTCTCTATCTTTTCTGTTGATCAGTGCATTGATAAAGCAAAGACATGTCAAAGGCGACCAGAACCAAGGAGCTAATCGTGGGATACCAGGGGTGGGATATGCCACGCGCGAAGCAGAAGCTACTTGACGACCAACGCTCCTTGCATCCGTGGGTGTCCCCGCGTACTTTTGTTGCACGAACAATGTTGCGTCAACCTCAACACTTTGGGTCGCGACCACTTCAACGACGCTCAACTCGACCGATGATGCAGCGTCGTCTGCTTTTGGTTTCGGTGACAGCATACGACCGGATACGCTGCTAGCAGGACGTGGCCATGATGTGTCGAGAGAGCATGTCCGAGCCTACTCGAGCACAATTGCACAATTGTGGGTCCGGCAGTGTTGATTCATGCAGCATGTGGTGCAGGGTTTCAGAGACTGCGCAAATATGTAGTGGGTGAAACACATAAACACTTAGTTGGCTCTGAAAGAAGCGCGGTTTAAACCTACTTGCACGTCTGGCTTTATGACGAATGTAAAGCCTTGGTATATATGCCCTATGGCGGCGCGCAAAAATCGCTTGCGTTGGTCAACGGACAAATGTACCGGTAATACAATCAAAAATCAAACGTCAACGAATTGCATCGCAGGCAAAAGCGTGTGCTGCGATTTACAAGGCGCACTCGAGCCACTTGACGGGCTTGCGGTCGCTGCCCCACCATCCGTCGCCGTTGCGGAAGGTCGCGTCGGCATGGTTGATGCTCGCGACGTAGTTGCCCGACGCCGTCGGATCGGTCGAGAAGCCGCTGAGACC